AGTTTTTAGGGCGGTCGGTCGTTTCGCCTGAGAAGCCCGCACCATTCTTACCACACCGAAGCTCAACAATTAACAACACTTTCACAAATGGAGGGCGGGTGGTTTTCAAAATGTGGCTCTCGCCTTACCGCGCACTTTCGTTTGAAAACGTTGCAAGAGCTTCACGGATTGAGGGCGGTCACGGAATCCCATGATCAGCGTAACAGAAATGTTGTTTTTGACGGATTCAGGATTATGAGGGCGCAACAGTTGTGTTGATTTGCGGCTTTGAAATCCCAAGAACGGGGGTCTGGTACGATTCAGGATCGTCAAAACAATAGTCAAGTTGATCCGTGGCACTGTAATCCCGAGAACGTTGTTTTGGCATGTATCGGAGACTTAAAATGGTTGGCTTCCAACGAAGCAGCTCCCTCAGTGGAAATGGACCCTTGTAAGGGCCTCTGAAGCGGGCGCTTGGAGGGAGGGTTGATTACAACATCGTTGATGACTCTTGGGTTTACACTGGTCCTCCTCCTTCTCCTTCTCCGTCGCCTCCTCCTCTTTTCCTTCATCATCCCCCCTCCTTCTCCCAGCGGCGCGCACAAGTCTGCCCCAGCAACGTGAGGGAGGAGCACCCGAGGCAGTTCCCATGGGTGCGCCTCCTCCTCCTCCTCCTCCTCCTCCTCTTCCTCCTCCTCCTCCTCCTCCTCCCTCCATTCCTCCTTATAAATAACCTGTCCCTTTTCGCAACCCGAGGCCAGTTTTTAGGGCGGGCCTGAGACTTCCTCACCGCTTATGACCCTGAAGCTTAAAACGTTGCATCAATGTCACAGATGGTGGGCGGGTCGTTTTAAACATGTGGCTCTCGCCTCAGCGCGGCGTGCATTCGTTTCGAAACATTGCAGGAGTTTCACAGATTGAAGGCGGGTCGTTTTCAAAATGTGGCTCTCGCCTTCGCGGCGCTCATTTCGTTTTTAAAAAATGTGGCTCTCGCCTTCGCGCGGCGAGCATTCGTTTGAAAAATTTGCGAGTGTTTCACGGATTGAGGGCGGTTCTGTTTCAAAATGTAGCTCTAGCCTGAGCGCGGCGCACATCCGTTGCAAAGTTTACAAGCGTTTCGCGGATTCCATCATTAACGTACCAGAAATGGTGTTTTGGAAGGGTTCAGGGTTACGCGGACGCAACAGTTACGCTGATTCTCTGGATTGAAGTCCTAAGACTGGCGTTCTGGCACGATGCATGGTCTTCAAGACGCAACAGTCAGGTTGATCCTTG